AACCAAGTCCTTGATGGTTAAAGCCATCTCCAGCTGCTTGGTGCAACGGTTTTCCATTGTCCCTGCCCACTGTCTGGGCATCGAACGAGGATCTCGAAGCATTACAACCACCTTGGTCTGCTTCAGTGTATCATGCGGCAGATGCAAAAGGGAACTGGCATTAAACATCGCAACGGTTTTGATCACAACAGCATCAGTACTGCTCTGGCACATCCGGATAATTTGTGCGCCTGCAGACCAATTGCTGACCAAAGTCTCACAGCCCTCGCATCGGTACAAACAGTCCATCCTCTGAAGTGCTTGCACCTCTGCATCAGGTGTCATAACCTTGCGTTCTTCATGATGCCACTTCTGCGGCTCCTTCCAAGCTCCCCAACCACCTTCGTTAAATGGCTCAAACATGTATGGCCTCCCTGCAATCCTGCCGAACAGCTCACCCCAAAAGCAAGACCCCGAGCGGCCCATGCTCATGAAATGTAATCTTCTTGTTTGCTTTAGGGCCTTTATGCCCTTAATCTGCGTCAATGAGGATCCGTCATCACAGGAAGTACTCAAAGCCACCGACACCGTGGCCACCGACGCAAAGGCCCACAGTCCGAACATGAAGCGCAGTCCAGACTGCAATATGAACGGTGAGACATCGTACTGGGCTGAAAGCCAAAAAGCTAGAACTGCTTCTCTGCACAGAATCAAACATCAGTGAGAATCGATTTCTCGCTACGGGTGCTTTTAAAGAGCATTTTCACACTGCCAAGTGGCGGAAATCAGAGCTAGGATGCAATCCACAAGCAGTGGCACTGCAACCGCCCAAGCCCATTTGGGACCAGCCTGCTTTTTGCAGCATGGGCAAAGCGCAAGGATAAGCTGGTGGACAAGCTGCTGCTACTTTGCTGTTGAACTTTGAAACTCCTATTTTATATATATATATAAAGACTCGTCAGCATCCTTTTCTAGTTCGCTCTGCAGCAGATTTGTCAAAATGATAATAAACAGTTAAGACAAAAATACGAAAAAAGAGAACCGGGTTGGTTACCCCCCCCCTTCTTCGGTCCACTACTCAAAGAAGGGGTCGTATCCGGGTAACCTTGTCCCCCCCAACCAGGCGGGCCAAACCCCAGACCCTGGCCAGGTCCTGGGGAGCTTAAAGTGCGACCCTTTTTTCGCTCCTCACGAGCTCTTTGAAGGTCGTTTGAGGGGGTTTCTTCCCCCTTTCCACGTCCCCCGAGCCGACGCTTCTCGTCGGGCGGCCTGCTGCTTCGCAGCGGCTCAAGTGTTCTAAAGGACTTGGGGGTGGAATTCTGAAAAAATTTTCTGTACGGTGCCAAAAACTGCTCAAAAGGACCAAGTTGCATTTCTGTCAAGACTGCTCTGGACTCGTTCAGATATAAACGTGCCGTTTTTTGTGCTTGCCAGCGACCTAGAAGCATTACGCGATCTAGGTTCCCATGCTGGCAAAACCACCATGTAGCCCCCCCCTTCGGAGGGAATAAGGGCGGAGGTCCAGGGGTTCCAGGTGTAAAGCTTCAACGCAGGTTTTGAAAAGTTTGCGCCAGCGGGCAGCTGGCGGACAAAGACGTTGGTGGCTACTGGCTAAAGAACTCCATTGGTGCAAGTATCGGAAAGCGGTGTCATGGCCGACGGTGACACTTTCTTGGACTCCGGCCCTCTTACCGGCCTTGGTCATGCCTAGACTGACAACGGCGACCCGAAGGCTGTCTGAAATGTCCAACCGACGTTTAGTAACATCTAGCATCTCTCCGGTGCGTAAGATGCCGTAAAAACACCGCAAAAGGCTGGTTGCAAAGGAGAAATACTGATGATACAAACTCCAGCCTACCATGGCATGGAGGAACTACCCAAGCCAGTAGAGCGAAAGAAAGGCAAAGGTTAGGAAGTTTGCGCGGGCTGACAGTGCAACCCGCCACCCGCATCCGATATGATCGTGCTTTGAATCGTTTCCTGGCTTTTCTCAAAGAGGAAGGCCTGCAGTTGCCCAGTCGCCGCAGTTTGTTGGACCCACTAGTCATGGAGTACATAGAACACTTGTGGCGCACCGGGGAAGGGCGTGGTCTGGCCGCCGACACCCTGGCGTCCTTACAGGACTTCGACGCCAAGATACGGGGGCAACTCCCTGGCGCCTGGCGCCTGGCGCCTAGTGAAGACGTGGGTCACTCACGAATTGCCCAATCGGGCGCCGCCCATGCCAGAGCGGCCCTTGGCATGCCTAAATTTAGTCTTGACTGACCACCGCGACGGCTTATCCGCCGGGTTGGGGTCAGTGTGCACATAGCCCCAGAGGGCTCCAACATTGTGCGCCAATAGAAGCGAGTTGATTCGGCAAAGGGTTCTGCGTGATGAGCTGCAGGTCGAAGAATACCTCTCCTCCTTCGGTCCGGCCTTGCGGCCGCTGCTGGCCTCCTCATTTTCGGCGCCATTTCCCTTTACCTTTCCCCTTCAAACGTCGTCCGTAGTCGCTATATCCCAGGGTCTGCCCCCGAATGATGTGCTTGACTCCCTTCCACTTCTTCGCCGGTTGGGGTCGTCGATCACGGAAACCAGGCGGTGACCTTGACGGAGTGCGTGGCCTCCTCGGCAACGGCTTCCTGGCTGAGGGCTTTGGCGGGACCTTTCGAAGTCCTGCTCCCTCCGGATCTCTGGCGACCTCGGTGTCCGGGCTAGCTTCGTCGTCGTGAGGTGTAACCTCAACCTCCTCGTCCTTCACTTCGGCCTCTGCCTCTCCTTCTGCGTCAGCTTCTTCCTCCTCTACTTCAGCCTCTGTTGCTACCAGCTCCTCAGGTTCTGGTGTGGGTTCCTTCTTTGCCTTCTTCCTCTCACGTCTCCGGCTTCTGGTGCGTGACCTTGCCTTGTCCTCACGCCTGCGCCTCCTCTGTTTCCCAGGGTTCTCTGATGCCCCGCCAGTCTCAACCTCCTTTGTTGCTTTGTTCGGAGCTGCTGAAGAAGCCTGTGGATCCCGCTGTCCAGGGTGTACCCCCGCGCTCAACTTAGGTGGCAGTGTAGCCTTGTCCACCTTCCGAACCTCCACCAGATATCCCTCGATGTCGACCAGGCCTGACGTACGGTCCGACTCGAACGCCTCAGTATCGGCCTCGAGCGTGTTGAGTACCTTGGCAAGTAATGCGTGAGCTCCTCGGCCTTGGCGGGAGGGTATCTGGTTTGAACAACACGGTGGATCCTGTCAACCAAGTAACAGGGATTGCACTGCCCCGATGTTCCAACAGGCAATTTCAAGCGGCTATGGCAACCAAGACAGGTCATAGACCACCTGAAAGAGCCAAACACTACGGAACCATCCAAGGTTGTGACTAGTCTTTATCCCCGGGGGCGGGGCACCATATATATTTTTATTTATACAGCGATGGCCTCCAACCTAATAGCGTGCTTGCTCCTAGTAGCGATGCCCTTTGTTCCGAGTAGCTTCTTGTTACTAGTAGCGATGCCAGGAGCGCCCCTAGTAGCGTCCGATCGCTCCTAATGGAAAATCCGGTGATCTGACAAGATTGCAAATGCAGTACATGGTAGAAAACCCCATACATAGGTAGAAAGACAGCTATATTTACGTGGATCACCTAGGACCTTCCGACGCCCCATCGTGGTTTTGTGTTCCAAGCGACGTGTCAATTGCCTAGTTTTGACAAGTCGGAGCGACTGCCCTGCCTCAACTCTCAACAGCGCACAAAGGCCCTGAGAAGCAGACAAAAATGCATGGTACCCAACATGGTCATTGCAAGACAAAGAAGGACGGCCAATTCAACAATTACATTCTACTCGCGAAAAGGTTCACGAACTCCTACGGCTTGGAGTCACTCTAAATTTGGAGCTGTGCCTTGCCCTTCGCCAAAGCCAAGCGCACAGAGAGTTCCTGGGGCAAGGTTCATGCACTAGTGTTTGCAAATACAAAGAGTTTGAGTCCGCCAACCGATTTGACTCAACATCTCCTGGGCAAAGTACAAAATGGGCACCAGAATTGCTTGAAGCAGCAACAACCTGGAGAGGAATTGCGTGATCACACTGGATGAACAAACATTCTTTGAACAAAGACCCTTCAAGTAAATCTTGCCTTTCCCTTGGGTCTTTGCTACCCCTGAAGTCTCGAATGCATTTTACAGACGTTTCCAAATGGAGCCCCTAGTAGCGTCCTTGCTCCTAGTAGCGATGCCAGGAGCCCCTAGTACCCTAGCAGCGTCCTTGCTCCGAGTAGCGATGCCAGGAGCCCCTAGTATGCCAGGAGCCCCTAGTAGCGTCCTTGCTCCTAGTAGCGATGCCAGGAGCCCCTAGTAGCGTCCTTGCTCCTAGTAGCGATGCCAGGAGCCCCTAGTAGCGAACATGTTTCAAATAGGATTTGGTCGCTTGTCTAAGTTTTGTGGGTTGTCTTTTACACGTCTTCCTGATTGGTCCCCCTCCGCCACCAAAATGCAACTCTAAATGCGACTTGTTCGACATCAACCGTGTATCAAGCTTTGTCAAGCACTCTTTTCGGTCTAGCCGCTTGTACCTCCATTCTGAACCCGAGTCGGCCGCAGTGATCAGGCAGGAGCCATCTGTATCAGCAAAGCACACCATTAAGCCAGGCCCCATCGTCTTCAACAGTCGTGCGATGAAGGTGGATTTGGCATGTGTCCTCAGACGGTGACTGATACAAAGAAGCGCTTTCTGATACAGTTTCAGAAAATATACTAGTAACAAGAAGCTACAGTACTAGGATAGCTTCGGAGGCAAAGCTTGGCAAGAAAGTCATAGTTCCGGCCTGGGGGTGCTCAAAATGCTCAAGGACTCGGGCTCCGTTTCCTGAGGGAAATACAAAACATTTGAAAACATCATCGCTCAATCCCTCGAGTAACCCGAGCATCCCTCGGATCACCACATTAACCTGCCCCTAGTAGCGTCCTTGTATGGCCAGGAGCCCCTACCGATGCCAGGAGCCCCTAGTAGCGTCCTTGCTCCGAGTAGCGATGCCAGGAGCCCAGCGATGCCAGGAGCCCCTAGTAGCGTCCTTGCTCCTAGTAGCGCCCTTGCTCCTAGTAGCGACGCCAGGAGCCCCTAGTAGCGTCCTTGCTCCTAGTAGCGATGC